CGCAAGTTCAGCTCACGTAGGATCTAGGCAGCTGTCGGGGCAGAGGCTTTCACGTGAACGTGTGTTCTAGATGTACCTCGGGGCGTCAGTGCTGCTGCTAGCATGACTGTCTGTATGCTTACTAAAAGTCGGCTTGCAGCCCAGCTTGTGAGGAAACTGATGATTCGTTTTGGTACATTGCTTTCAGGAAGCGTCACCACCGAACGGCGTCGGTTGGGTCCAATGCAGAGTGGTAACAATGATGACTACACCGCTCTGATTCCTACTCCTACCCCCGACAATCCCACGATAGAAGTGCTTCTGATACTGTTACTGCTCCGGCGACTGCTATCGCTTGGAGGAAAGCAGCAGCAGCAGCAACAGCAGCACTACTGCTCTCGTACTGACGTTGGCTTTAAGCTCAACCTGCACTGCTCTGCAGGAAAATGCCCTGCAGCAGCCATCCCTGCAGAACAGCTGTGAACATTGGTCTCAGGACGAAGCCCTAAACATGAAAGCTCCAACGTGCACACTAAAGAGATCTAAAGAGTGGGGTTCAGAGAATCAGCCACCAGCCCACAGCTCCGACTCAGAGCGCGGCTGGAAGCTCTGATTCCATGTTGAAGAAATGAGTCAAGACCTGCCAACACAAAAAACAGGTCCCGCACAATATCTGCTGAAATCATGACTCTACAGCACGTCTGCTTCCTTGCGCGTTGGTAGGGTTATGGGAAGATGGTGTGCTCAGAAGGAGTGGTGGGAAAAGAATCGGAGAAGAAAAAAAAATGATGCTTTCTGAACTCAAATGAAACAGGGTCAGCTTGCTGCAGTATACCGGGAAATCTAGCGGGAGTGCATTTTTCGCTTCGTTGAACTCCCTGCTGCCCTTCTGCACAAGACAGGAACCTGAGGACGTGGACGACGGGGTGAAGGAGATTTCTGGGCGTTTATGCACGGGTAGTAGACGTCCGACCACTTGGCAGAACAGTTTGGAGGGCACCTCGTGCAGCTGCTACACAACACAAGAATCCAATCGGAACACCAGAAAGTGCTCCGTTCAGCGGACCTTCAGAGAGTCGATCCGGGTGTTGATGCCTTGGCTTGCCACTGCAGCGGTTGGCCCTTCGGCAGATGCAGCAGCAGCAGCAGCAGCAAGAACAACACAGCCGCCACTTTAGCAAACGGGCTGTAACCGCACGACCAGGATCTAGAAATCAAACATGGACACGATACTTGCGGCAATGATGCGAGTGATGATGATGATGATGATGATGGTGATGGTGATGGTTATGGTGATGACGATGGTGGTGATGATGGCGGTGGTGTTGCTGACGGCAATGAAAACGAAGATGACAATGACAAGGAAATGCGCGAGGCGGAGACTAAAGCTGGTCAGGACAGTCGCCACGAAACAGATTCCAACACCACACCAACACGAAGAAGTGCAGCAGCTCAGACGCCCCCGTTCCGTGCCGACCCCACGACCTGAAAATGACCCGCACAAGCCAAGCGGCTCATCAGCTCGATGAAGATGCCCTCGAAGTCGTTGGTCATGTCGCCTCGGGCTTCGATTACTCGACAGGACGACGGTCTCTCTCCCAGTGCTGATGAGAATGGTGAAGACCTCGGTGAAGACTAGCAAGCAAAAACTGATGATGATAACGATGCGGATTCTGATGATGACCATGATGACGATGCTGATGACGGTGATGGCTGTTGAAAAGTGTGAAGCGGAGCCTCAAGGAAAATCTGAAGACAAACGGCAGGATGGGGATGTACCATCGTGACGACGATCATGATGACGAAGCTGATGAAGATAAAGAAGAACAAGATGATGATAATGATGATAATGATGATGTCGAAATTAGCCACGCTGTTGACTGCTGCTGGCACTGCTGCTGCCGCTGCCGCTGCTTCTGCTGCTTCCCCTGCTTCTGCTGCTGCTGCTGCTGCTGCTGCTGCCGCTGCCGCTGCCGCTGCTTCTGCTGCTTCTTCTGCCGCTGCTGCTGCTGCTCTTCCTATTGTCGTTGTTGCTGTTGGTGTTGCTGCTGCTGCTGTTGCTGTTGTTCATGATGCTGATGCGGTTGCTGTTGCTGTGGCTGCCGTTGTCGTTACTGTTACTGTTACTGTTACTGTTAATTACTGTTACTGTTGCTGTTGCTGTTGCTGTTGCTGTTGCTGCTGTGGTTGTTGTTGCTGCTGCTGCTACTGTGTACTGTCATTGCTTGGTGCTATTGTTGTCCTCGTCGTGTCATCGCATTGTTCTGTTCGAGGGCTTCTCGTGCATTGCTGCCATGACTGAGGGTCTTATCCGCCGAGGCCAGAGGCCCAGGCGTCTTGGTGGTTATCTCAGGTACACCTAATCCTCCTCCCACACCCGCTTTTTGCGTTCGTTTGCACCCCCTTGCCCGGCTTCCTCTTACCTGATTTGTCGGCCTCCCCCCCCCTCCTCCGCCCTCCCCCCCCTCCCCTCCCCCCCTTCCCCCCCCTTCTCCCCCCACCCTCCCCCCCACCCTTCACCCCCCCACCCTCCCCCCCACCCTTCACCCCCCACCCTCCCCCCCTCCCCCCCCCCTCCACCCCCCTTGTACCCGTTCTCCTCGCACTTCGTATCAACAACCGTGTAAAGGTTGGGGTTTGACAGGCCGCCCTAGCATAAAAAAAAATCGACTGCCCCCTCGCCCTGCCGCTACACAGCCGAGGCGGGCGGCGTAGCGTTAAAATTAGTCAGTCCGTTGTTGCTTTCCATATTCTTGCTCGCATGTCAGCAACCTTTTTCACGATGGGGTACCAGGAGCTAAAGCTGCAGATGCCTCTGCCTGAAATTATGTCCGAATCAAGTGACTGCTACTGCCAGCTGCGCAGTGACATATCCAGTGGAAGACTGGAACCATCGTAGCACTCTAGCACGATGACTACTACAACAATCACATCCCATGACTTCTTCCGACAAGACAGACGAGGGCTAGCGGACAAGGTGGTGGCCGCCCGGCAGAAGCAAGCCAAAAGAAATCCACCCTAGGATTGTGAAGGCACCCTAAATGACCGAGGTGCTGATCACAGAGATGATCGCCAGGAACACCTGGCAGAGAGGCAAAGCACCGGCCGCATGGACCGCTTACCAAAGCCCGGAAACCTAGAACCCTTTGAGAAGGTTGCTACAACAATCTAAAGCAAATTTGAAGTACCGAGGAAAAACCCCTCGAACCCTGAAACTGGTCGACCCTGCTGCGACTGGTTGCACCGGTAGCACACAACCAGCTTGGGCCCGACAGAGAGGCACCAACGGATAATAAGACTAATCAATATGAGAAAACTATAAGTATAGTACTTTCTAATTATAGTACTAATTATTATTGCTAATCATGATAATTATGATAAGCATCTCCAACTAAGTCACAGGTATCGGCTGACACGACCAGTAGGTGCTCGATTAAGATGCCCTTAAGCAATCAGCCAACACTTGACAACAAGGAAGCACATGCAGGGTTCACTCCCATGGACGTCGACCCATCCAGAACACTCTCGGCAAAGAGGGCCTGCAGGCGGGCTTCTCGCAGGTTGCAACGTGGAGTTACCAGATTCCGGCATTGACACGGGCTGTGACACATTGATCAACTCCGTGTGACACATACTGTCAAGAATGTCGGTGGGGGTCGTGGCGGAGCTTTTGGTGGTTGTGTGTAGAGGCGGTGGCGGTGGTGGCGGTGGTGGCGGTGGTGGCAGTGGTGGTGGTGGCGGTGGTGGCGGCGGTGGTGGCGGTGGAGGCGGTGGTGGCGGTGGTGGCGGTGGTGGCGATGGTGGCGGTGGTGGCAATGATGAGTGTTGGGGGTTGGTGTCGGTGCTGGCGGTTACCCTCATGATGCTGATGAAGAAGACGATGATGGTGGTGGCAGCGATGAAGATGGCGATGGAGATGAAGCTGACGATGGCGTGGACGATGATGGCGATATTGATGCTGATGTTGATGCTGCTGCTGATGAGGATGATGATGATGATGGTGGTGATGACGGTGATGGTGACGATGATGACGGTGATGATGATGGTGATGGTGCTGCTGATGATGATGATGATGATGATGATGAACATGATGATGACGATGATGACGGATATGATGGTGATGATGATAACGGTGGTGATGATCATCATCATCATCATCACGATCCTGATGGGAGCACTCCTGAGCCCCTGGCAATGTAGGCGCCGATGAAGGTGGGTCCCAGCCACTGCCTTTCCAACATGGATCAAGACCCCATTCTCCTGGAACCACGCCGAAGACTAAGGCTGCTCGATGTTCTGCATGCTACCGGTACAAACACCTGCTTCATCGTTGCGACACCCAACTCTGCTGGAAGGGTAAGTCATTTGCGCTCTCTTGCCGCAGATGCAAAGCCTCACCTGTCCTTCCCTACTGACTGATCCTGTCTTCGCAATCCCACGCGAACTCTGATAGTCAAGTCACGGAAAATAGTTGTTGTTGAGTGCCACCTGCTGCTCGGGAATGACCGACAAGCGTGCCTCAGCAGCCATTGCTCAAAACATTTATGGCGCTTGCCTGGCAAAACCAGCAACTCAACGCAGGAGGTTGCTGTGAGCTTCTGGACCTGCAATAGTAGCTAGCCACCAGATGAGGACAGCGAGAGGAACAACCAAACCTAAAATCGTCCACCACGATCCACACCAGCCTCAACCTCATCGTCGTCCCCCTTGCCCCTTCGCCACCATCATGCACATCATCAAAGCCGGCAACAGAATTCTGCGGTTGCTGCAACCCTCAAGGTCTCAATGCCGAGTGCGCGCCCGAAGCGCCGCAACGGGCCAGCTCCCACTTCAGCCCAAATACCCTGAACATCCTGTCGGAAGCGGGAAGATGCCCTACAGTTGGGGAAGGCTTCAGGAACACCATGGACCCTGATATTTTAATATATATAGAACCAAGACTATAAGAACCCTGCATCTCCAGAACTCCCCCTTTTCATTCTATCTCAGCTTCCAGGACCCCAAGAAAGCTCCAGAGTCGGCTAAGCCACTAAGTTGGCCTTCTTCTCGAAGATTTCGCTCATTACCGGCCGACGGCTGTACTCAGCGATCAAGCTGTACTTGTCGCCTCATTGCGCAAGCTTCCTGCCTAGAGTCTGCAGGTTTTTTGTGTTCCGGGTCTTACACGACTTTCCGGTTCTCCCATAAGAGTGGTTCATTCATTTGCCTGGGCTTTTACCATACCGGGACCGTGAGTTTACTCAAGCGTTCACCGAACAGGCTCAAGTCAGGCTCCAATGATTCTGAGTTCTGTGGTAGCAGCGTGGGTGAACACTGGAGAATGTGTACGCTGTCTTGGTAGACAGTTTCCATGGACGAAACCGTGAAACCACAACTGTTCCAAGCTGATGCTCATCGATGCTCCGATGCACAGTTGCTAGTGAACTCACTACTGGTAGCATCGCTCTTGCTCGCAGACGACGACAATAGGGTCTGAGCAAAGCTTCTCGAGAGCCCTCGGAAACGGAAGAACCTAAACCCTCAAAAACCCTATGCCCAAAGGCCCACAGCACAGCTGAGCCCGGCGGCAGGACTCACTCACGAAGGCAACCACCTGCTCCCGCACTGCGCCGGAGATCCGCGTCACCTGGCGCTGCGGGGCACTGTTTAGGCTTTAGGGTTTAGATTTGTCTCTGTAACTATATTTGCCGTCTAGTAGGACGAACTGACTCTAGTAGATTCTAGAACAAGCCCCACACAGTCCACATGATCAAGGTGCCGAGAAGCCATCCTGCACCCCTCTTTTCTTCTACACGGCTTCACTCGCAACATTGCTGATTTCGGCCTTGGACATCGCATCGCCGCGGATGATTCCGAAGAGGACCATGAGTGTGGGCATGAGGGCCACGACCCACCAACACGCCGGGTCCTGCACCAGTCTTCAAGTACACTGCATAGTGCATCAAGCTGATCATGTTGGCTCTTCGGAAAGGGGTACAATCAGGAAGGGCCTACGGGCAGCTCGCGTTTGTCGGATGAAGAACGAGTGAGAGAATGAATAACGAACGAGAGAATGGATGAATGAATGAATGAAATCCGTGCATCCTTGCATGGGTTGTAGGCCTGCGTGGCAATGGAAAGGACGTGAATGACCCGGCCGTGGACTTTCGGACTCCGGTGCATCTCTACATTCCGGAAGTTGCAGCTTCAGACTTAAGGTTTTGCGGCACCTTGCATGCTTACTTGCATGTGCCTGTCACCCCTCTGACAAAGCTGGACTCATCGTATTACACCTACAGTTGTTATAGCACGCAGACTGTTTTGTCAGAAAAAGCGAAATGACACTCATGAGAGCATAGGTACCATGTCAGCACGATCGCCAGCAGTCGGTAACAGTCACAAGCAACACTGCTGCTCCTCCTTCTAGCCGTTTTACTGCTCATAATATGACTACTCCTGGTACAGACACGACTGCAACAAGTAGCAGGATGCTGGCATAGCATTTGAGCATGCCAACGATCAGGAACAATGCATCCCGTCGTCATCAGCATCAGCATCATCGTCATCATGGTGGTGATGGTGATGATGATGGTGGTGGTCGAGATGGCCAAGGTAACGGTGAATGGTGGTGATGGTGTTGGTGGTGGAGATGGTGGAGATGGTGGAGATGGTGCAATGGTGATGGCGGTGATGGTCGTGGTGATGGTGGTGAGCGTGGTGATGCTGGAGTTAGTGGTGTTGGTGGTCTTGGTGGTGTTGGTGGTGTTGCTGGTGTTGGTGGTGTTGGTGGTGTTGGTGGTGATGGCGGTGGTGGCGACAGTCATCTACTCTGGGGGCTGTGCGATTTAGCCTTTCTGGATGCTAGCTTTTGAAATCTCAGTTTAACATCCGCGGAAGCATCCCTTGGGCTCTGAGGACAAAATATCGGGGCCTTCAGCGTGAGAAATGATATCCTGTGTTTTGCCGAACACAAGTGTCGGATAATGTGCCGAAAAAACTATCGTACCTGTTAACCTGTAGCAGGGTTTAAGGAAATGGGGTTCACGGTTCGGGGTCGCCTGCCACAATGTGAAGCCGACCATCAGCACCTCGTGTGAAGATTCTCTCCAGCATTCATTCAGGTTGTATTTCTCTGTTGACAGCCACGATCACACTTACTGTCACCGTCATCGTGTCTCTACGAGGATGTCTTGAATCCTGTCAGCGCAAGCTTCACAGCTGCATGCGACCCCTGGCCTTCAGAGCCTGCAAGTCACACGAAGATCCAGGGCCAAAGCATGAAAAAGCCCGTGAACAGGAAACGGGGAGCATACTGTAATCCTGAGCTGAACCTTAGAACCTTTCATCGACGGGCAGCGATTCGACCGCCCATCTGCACAATCTCCAACCTTCCGGCATTGCGGTGGTGCATCACGAAAGTGTAGATTTCGCCTATCTGCATCAGCATGACTTTTTGTTTCACTTCAGCTACACTGATCTGCAAGCTGCAAGCTGCATCGCCTTCATGGAAGATCCCTGAACTCGACCCTGAAGATTCGTCGGGGTCCCCTCCGGACAACACGCAACATGATCAGCATATGCTGGTGTCATGCTGAGCACGCCACACTGCAGCGTAGGCACTGGCAACGTCCGTGCTCTCCTGGGGTTTGGGCAGCTAGTGAGACACGTCATGACCTGACTTGCAACTGACTCGCATACCTGCCTTTCCCTTGCACCGATTGCGGTGCGAGGCCCGGAACCACCAGGTTCCCCACATCCCGCCTGCGTGATGGCATGATTCATCTGTGCCGGCGTCATCGAACGCCTTGACTTCTCCTTCGCGTGTAGACGATCTATTTGATCTGTCTAGTGGAGCCCTTCGGGACTAAAGAGCACCGATCGGGATTCGGATGTTGACGAAACTGACTTTCACGCACTATACACGCCGAGCAACGCTGTAGTTCAGATACTTCCGAAAGAGGGTCGTCTGGATGAACATCTTCGTGCGCCCTTGCACGTCCAAGGATAACCTGGGCAAAAGACAACCCTACATAAATCCTAAACCATACCTTCTTCGAATCCTGCCTGCCGAGATCTCTGACCCGAATATTGCCGTTATCACTGCTGCTATTGTTCTTCTTGTTATTGTTGTCATGAATATTGTCATTGTTCCCATTATCCTACCTTTTTCAGGTTTGTCCCATGCTGGAGCTCTGGGTTTCCAAGTAAAGACTTTCGGATAAGTAGGCCATAGATCGGCCCTCAACGTTACCATAGGGGTTTAGGGTTTGTTTAGGGTTTAGGGTTTAGGGTTTAAGGGTTTAGGGTTTAGGGTTTAGGGTTTTAGGGTTTTGCGAAATATTGGGATACAAATAAGGCCCGAATGGTTTCAAGAGGGATTTGCGGTGTCTTCAACTACAACTGGGGCGTTAAAAATTAGAACAGGGTTTTGCGGCATCTACAGCTATGGTACGAACCCTGAGGGATAGTAGCAGTAGTAGTAGTGGTAGTAGTAGTAGTAGTAGTAGTAGTAGTAGTAGTAGTAGTAGTAGTAGTAGTAGTAGTAGTAGTAGTAGTAGTAGTAGTAGTAGTAGTAGTAGTAGTAGTAGTAGTAGTAGTAGTAGTAGTAGTACGTAGTAGTACGTAGTAGTAGTACGTAGTAGTAGTAGTACGTAGTAGTAGTAGTAGTAGTAGTAGTAGTAGTAGTAGTAGTAGTAGTAGTAGTAGTAGTAGTAGTAGTAGTAGTAGTAGTAGTAGTAGTAGTAGTAGTAGTAGTAGTAGTAGTAGTAGTAGTAGTAGTAGTAGTAGTGGTAGTAGTTGTAGTGGTAGTAGTAGTAGTAGTAGTAGTAGCAGTAGTAGTAGTAGAAGTAATAGTAGTAGTAGCAGTAGTAGTAGTAGTAGTAGTAGTAGTGGTAGTAGTTGTAGTGGTGGTAGTAGTAGTAGTAGTAGTAGTAGTAGTTAGTCAAGCTTCTGTATAGCTTTCCCCCCCCCCCCCCCCCGGCTGCCCAACCCATGCAATGTGACCGAAGACCCCAGCTGTAGGGTCGGGAGACGTAGCAAGTAGGTTTTCTGTAGGCTTCTAAGTACCCAATAGGGATGCTAAGCTGTGGTACGTACTGCATAAGCCTTTCCTATGACGAGTTTCTAAGGCCCCCCGACTCTTACGACCCCGATGGCCAATGCTCAAGTGCAGAGCCCACGGATCTATCCCAAGCCGGGCTGCAGAAACCACAAACCCTTTGTAGTGCTTAGGGGTGTTTAGAGGATTTGAGGGTCCGGGTGGCGGAATGTCCTCCGACCTTCTTTCAACATACCTATGTATGTACGCACATACCTATGTATGTACGCATGTATATATGTACATATTTTCAAAGTTAGAACTTTAAAGATATGTATATGCATATATATATATATATATATATATGTATGGAGAGAGAGAGAGAGAGAGAGAAGGAAGAGAGAGAGAGAGAGAGATCATTGCGATCGTTGGATCGTTGAGTCGTGCTCGTACTAAGCAAGCTAGGACTTGAGAGGCGCCGAACAAATCGCAAATCGTGCAGTGATTCAAGGCTTAGGGCTACTTAGCTACTTCACAGAGGAGCAAGGTGGGAGTTTCCGAAAATAGCCTTATAATACGGATCCTACCATTCAGGGTCCTCTATTTGGGTCCCCCTCTTTTCGGAAACCCCCACGTGAAGCTACCAGTGGCAGGGATCTGGTAACCAGTGTATTACCTAGGGCACCGAACGTCTAACGATCGCATTCAGCATAGCTTTGCAGAGATAAGCAGCTTATAGTAGTCCCAGACGTGAAGAATTGTGAGCGGCGCGACGTAGAGGATGCCGATGACGATGGCCTCGTTTTCAGTAACAGGCTCCCCTTCACGGCATCAGCATGCACTTGAGGGTCCATCAGGCTGCGCCTTTCACTGAGGGAGAACACTTGACAGCTTCGAAATTAACCCGAGTTGACTGCTTCACCGAGACCTTTGCAGAACTCAATATAAGGTTGGCGAGAGAATGAGCTGTTCTTGCAACCCCCACCTTCTCATCACTCTCTGCCGAGAGGCACAAGTACGCCGATCCGGCAGAATCAGGCGATCCTCAGACGTTCTCATGTCCAGCACCACCTGGAAGCCATGCTGCAGCAGGCTCTACATGCAGTGCGCACCATGGATACATCCAAAACCAGCAACACGCCGATCCAAACACGTGTATGGGTGTGTGCACATGTGTTCATGCCAACCTACATACATACTTGCAGAAAGACAGACAGACAGACCGATTGACTGACTGACAGACGCAGACAGACACGGACAGACGAGGACAGACGCAGACAGACGCAGACAGACCCAGACAAACGCAGACAGACATACGCACAGTCAGACATTGGCGCACACACACATATGCTTCTGCACACATGCGCACACTCATGTGAGGGTACAGCACCACATGTGCATGTGCTGCATCTATGTAGTTGCAGATACATGTCTGCGTAACTGCACATGCATGTGAGCACATCCGTCTTTACAGTTGCCACAACGAGATTCTTCACTCTGGCTACTACGGGTAGTGATGGCCCAGTTATGGCTACCGACTGATGGCGACTGGTGTTTAGGCTACAGTTCTCGCTAGACTACTGACGCTGCGTGCTGATGAGTCTAGGTCGGCTTCCGTTGTAATTAATATGTTACGGTGTCTTAGTTTTGCTGAGATGCCACATAAACCGACCATACTGCTTGTTCACGTGTCAGCTTCTTCCGTGATGCTTGCTTACGTGCGCAGACATACCGGCGCGTCCACTATATGTCTACGGCCTGAGTCGTTGCCGACATGCGAGGTGCTTACAAGAACCTGACTCCACATCACCATCGACCCGATTGCAAACTATAGGGTCTAGTTAGTTAAACTGACTTGTTGTAGATGGTAATCTCGTTTCCGCCGAGCAGCGTTGATGAGATAGGTCTTCATCATGAGGGTCAGAAGAAGGTAGGCATTCCTTGTGCATGCCGAGGCACAAACCAGATCGCAATAAACACAACCGCGGGTTGGCCACTGATACGAATCCAAGCATCTTCAACTGGTCGAACATCACAGTCAGCACAGTTCTGTATCCCATGCCTTCACCTCAGTGCCCATGTTGGGGGAGACGGGGGAGTGGATATGCCCCGACTGCAGGCTCTATGAGGATTTCCAGGACGCAGGGCTGCCACACAAAGCTAAAGATGCTGCATAGTCGCTGATGAAGTTCAGACGGAAAAATTCGAAAAACAGGGAGAAGCCGCTGATGTTCCATATAGCATCCTCACGACCAGAGAGGTTTTGAAGCATCGGCCCACGTTTTAACACTACATCCCGAGGCAGCCGGTCATTCCTCGCCCTTGAGGATCTCTTCGCGGTGGTTGTTGCCAGGAAAAGCATCATCATCGATGATCTAGCAGGGACCGTCTCGTGCTTACTAGGGAATGGGGGAATGGATCCCTGTAGTAGCCCCTATATAATCCCCAATAACAGTCCCCATAACCTATTCCTCCCTACTAAAAACCAGACAAAGGCGAATGTGCAACCAAGAAAGCAAGCATAAGTTGATTTGCTGGGCTACGGTACACTCAGGAACCTTGCATGCAGAGGTAGATGTGTCGTGGGCAGATGGAGTACGTGAGTTGAAATAAACTCAGCCCTTACGTAATCACTCTACATCATACCAAAAGAACAAACCTTGTCGATTTGCATTCCATGCTACATAGCTCATGAAAACACTCGGGAAGCTATAGTGTCAAGTGCGGGGATCCTTGCCCGTACCTTGCGCCTTTATACAGCGCCTACCCAAACCTCTTCATGGACGCCTATACATTAGTGTTTATTTATATATATATATATATATATATATACATATATATATATATATACACATACATACATACATACGTACATACATACATACATAGATATATAGATAGATAGATAGATAGATAGATAGATATGTGTGTGTTGGTGTGTGTGTATATATGTATGTGTATTATATATATATATATATATATATATATATGTATATGTTTATGTCTATGCTTATGTATGTGTATGTATATGTATATGTATATATCTTCGTTCTTAAACGCCAAAAACCCTGAACCTGCGACAGTTGGGGCCAGCCTTGACGCGGCAGTATTGCAGATCTTGTCCAAGCCTCCGGTCGCAGAACTAATTACCGGTAAGTCTGTTCAGGTTTTAGGGTTTTAGGGTTTAGGGTTTCGGGTTTCGGGGCTTGTTGAACTGTTTGTTGTCTAGGAAAGCCATGAAGGATGTTCTTTGCACAGAAACTTCTGCCCGTACAGTTACTTATGTTCTCAGGGACCGTGCAGCATACCTGAAACACTACAACAAAGCACCGCATATTCACATGCTCCTTGGATTCCGAATAAGGCCACCAGTAAACCCGAAACCCCAAAAAACCGTAAAGCCAAAACCCTATAAACACCCTAACGCCCCAAAAAAACCCTGAAAACCCGAAAACCCCAACCCTAAGACCTGAGAAGCCCTGAAGACCGTAGATCCCTCAATCCTAGTCCCGACATGAACAAGGTTCCTGTCAGCCCGGGCTAGTAAACCCGTGCCTACGGGTTTAGGGTTTAGGGTTTAGGGTTTAGGGTTTAGGGTTTCGGGCTAGTAAAACATAAATAGACAAAGGCCTCGGGAGCTCGGCACCCGAACCCTCAAGCTTAAATTGACAGCGCAGCCCACAACAAGGGCCCTTGCAGGCTGTTTATTCCTATCGCAATCTACAATCGATGTGCCTGCAGTTCTGCGGATGGGTCAAGACGATTTTGAATTCTGTGGAGGGTGACCAGTTGTCGTCGTCATTGATTTCCTCGGTGTCTACAGGGCTCCGCACAGGTCTCCGCACAATGCAAGCAATGCGCTGAGCTGGCAGGCAGAAATTCATAAACCCATGACTCACAGCACTCACCAGCGTCAAGACGTGGCTGGGATCCCAACGACCTGGATCTCTTTGTGGTCTTCGCCATGTTCAAAGATGAGCTCGCCTGCACGGAATTTCTGGGAGGCCCCTGAAACAGCCCAGATCTCCTCGGCTGTTTAGCATCCCTGGCAATACTGCCTTTGCTACCATAAGCGGAAGTGTCGCTCCCATAGCTAGCTATGATGATGATGACAATGATGGGGGTAGTGACTATGATAATGACGTCGCAGGACATTGCACCCTCAATGCTTGTGCACGCCCGCTGCCTGAACAGGCTTCGTATTCGCGGCCCGCAAGGGCGCTAGCATCCACGGTATGGTACTTCACCTGAATGTGGACTTAGGTTTGGCACTGCAGATTCTGCATGTACGTGTAGAGTGCGCATCAAGCCTCAGAACTTGTGCATGAACATTCCAATCAGCTCACCACCATTCGTCGACGTCTGACAGAACCCTGTACATGCGGAGCTGCCAAGCTAAAAACCCTGCTGCTTCCCGATGCCAAGATTCGCTCAGCCTGCCCCTCATCGAGCCCAAACGCATGATGTCGATGGAGAGGGGAGATTCCCCCTCCTGTGCATAGTAGAGCTGGCAACAGAACCTCAGCTCCATCATGCCCGAACCTGAACGCGTCATCTCTCAGCTGGCTCCTCAAAGAACGACATAGGAGCTTTCAAAAGAGCATGTCCATGGACTCCCCTAAACAAACAACCCTAAACCCTAAACCCAAACCCTTTAAGCCAAGGATCTGGACGATGTCGCTGTCTCTGCTTGCCATGGCTGGCCACAGTCCTTTGCCAACGACGGAGCTCTGCACAGGTCCAGCCTATCTACTCTATATGTATATATATATACACACATATACATGCATGCATGCATGCATGCATGCATGCATGCATACATACATACATACATACATACATACATACATACATGCATACATACATACATACATACGTACATATATATATATATACATATGTACCTATGTATATATATATATGTATACATGCAGTTTTTGAACAAATATCAGTCCCAAAAGCTGTCTGGATACTCCATATTGCTTGTTAAAACCTAAGCCCGGGAAGCACAGACTTGCAAGCAACTGAGAACAGCACAGCCCAGCGGGCCAATCGCTCGGCGCGCGCGGCAATGCAAGGCGAACTACACTAAAACCAAGTTCCTTCACTAGATGCGCAGCAGCTGTTCGAAATGCTCTAATTATGCCCACAGAAGCAATCACGATGCAACAACAGACACTAGAGGTTGATTAGAACAACACTGACAAGATTAGACGGAACGGTAGTACTTGGTAGGAAGACTGTGCATCCTGAAACTGAATACCAGTGACTGCTCCAGCGGTCTCTGAGCCGCCCTGCGGTCGTCACGGAAACGTTCGGTCTTTCTGGCGTAGGACTTTAGCCGGGCAAGCTTCAGTCACTGGCTTACAAACCCAATCCACCACATGGCAATGCTGGACCTAGTTCCTGCAGTCGCATTACTACTCCGCCCGCTCCTGCAGATCACTACTACGTAGTAGTAGCAGCAGGGGTTGTTGTAGTAGTAGTAGTAGTAGTAGTAGTAGTAGTAGCAGCAGCAGCAGTAGCAGTAACAGGAGCAGCAGCAGCATCAGGAGTAGTAGTAGTAGTAGTAGTAGCAGGAGTAGTAGTAGTAGTAGTAGTAGTAGTAGTAGTAGTAGTAGTAGTAGTAGTAGTGGTAGTACTAGTGATAGTAGTAGTAGTAGTAGTAGTAGTAGTAGCAGTAGGAGTAGTAGGAGTAGTAGGAGTAGTAGTAGGAGTAGTAGTAGTAGTAGTAGTAGTAGTAGTAGTAGTAGTGGTAGTACTAGTGATAGTAGTAGTAGTAGTAGTAGTAGTAGTAGTAGCAGTAGGAGTAGTAGGAGTAGTAGGAGTAGTAGTAGGAGTAGTAGTAGTAGTAGTAGTAGCACTGGTAGTAGTGGCAGTAGTAGTAGGAGTAGTAGTAGGAGTAGGAGTGGCAGTCGCCGTCGTCGTAGTCGTAGTCGTAGTCGTAGTCGTAGTAGCAGTAGTAGTAGTAGCAGTAGTAGTAGCAGTAGGACTAGTAGTAGTAGTAGTAGTAGTAGTAGTCGTAGTAATAGTAGTAGTAGTAGTAGTAGTAGTAGTAGTAGTAGTAGTAGTAGTAGTAGTAGTAGAGCAGTGGTAGTGGTTGGCAGTAAGAATGGGAGTGGACGTGTCTAGTGACACAGTAGTGGTAGAGGTTGTGATATTGGTAGTGGTAGTGTTACTGTAGTAGTAGCGGTAACTCTACAAGTTCAACTGCAACTACAACAACTACTACTACTTACTACTACTTCTGTCACTGCCATTGCCACTGCCACTCCACTGCCACTGCTACTGCTACACTACTGCTACATCTGCAGCTACAGCTTCAGGTATTCGCTGCTACTGCCGCTGCTGGTGCTGCTATCATCTTAGCCTTTGCAACAATGGCAGTATCAATGGCAACGACTATAGATAGTGAACACGTACAGATAGCAATGAAATGGTGCACAGCTGGCTAAGAAAGTAGCATCTAGGTGTGTCATTGAATCGTGTCCCTTTCAAAGTTTTTTTCTTTCTCCGAGCTTGCAGCCACTTTGTGGCGGCATGGAAAGCTTGGATGAGCCGACGTGGGTCCAATCCAGTGTGGCCAAGCTCAAGGAAAAGAGATTAGGATGTCGTCTGTTTCAAACTTGAATCAACCTTAGTCCAAACCTCGACTCGTGTAAGTGCCGCGGTACCCAGGATCTGAAAACCGTTTCAAAACCCACAGAACTGCAAAGCCACGCGGAACCGGTTTGCACAGGCACTCCTTCGGAGACCTGAGCAAAACTCTAATTAGATAGGGCAGCATCCTAGAACATATGGGGGCCTGCATAATTTGAACAGGGTCTGGTGGTATATATAATATATACTAATATAGTATACGAGGTCCTACCCTAAACTCCTAACCCGCCATCTCTCCGTGCGACCTGGGCCAAGGGAGAAGCTCAGTTCTAGAGGGCTCTTCGATTGAGGGTTTAGGGGCTTAGGGTTTAGTGGTTTGGGGGTTTAGGGGTTTTGGGGTTTAGGGGTTTGGGGGTTTAGAGGTTTTGGGGTTTAGGGGTGTCGGCTCTTGTAGGGTTTAACATTTTGGGTTTAGGCTAAGGGGTTAAGGGTTTAGAGGCTGTACAACGGGGTGCAGGGTTGCTTCGGCTTCGCAGGAATTAGGGATTAGGGCTTTGGAGTTTTGGGTTTCGGGGTTCAGGGAGGATACTGATAGGGCCTAAGCGGGTTTAAGGTAGCCGTCCGCGTCGCCGGCGTCGTTGCTATAGCGTGTAATAGTAATCGTTGTTGATCCCTCGTCCTCCTCATCCTCCTCGTCGTCCTCCTCCTCGTCCTCGACGCCGTCATCGCTCCCCTCTCGTTCTCCTAGTTCCTGTCGTCATCCGCATGGTCATCGTGGACGATATCGTCACCATGATCATCATCGTAATCATCAGCACCATCGTTATCACCGTTATCATCAACACCATCATCATCATCATCATCATCATCATCGCCACGACCGTCATCACCATCACAGTCGTTCTCACGGCTCCAGCAGACCGAGTCATATCCCCTCACCAACCTCCCGGCGTTCTGGGGACGTAACGATGGCCGCACCCGCAGATCGAGGCAACGCCAGTCGCCCCGCAGTCGCGGGCCGTGGCATAGAAGGTGACGAGACACACCTCCCGATCATCACCCTAAACCCTGAACCCTAAACCCTAAACCCTAATCCCTAAACAGTTAAGGCACACATGGCTTTTGGTCACTTTTCCACATTTATTACACTATCGCGGGTTTAGGGTATAGGGTTGTTAGCTGTTACTGTAAGATACTGTTTGTATTTTACTATAACATATTGCAGTACGCCACGTTTTTTTTCAATGTGTAAGGTATTGCGTCCAACAGCTATGCCCATCAACCCTCAGCAGTTTTGAGCGAAACGCTTTTTCGGAGGGCTGGCCACGAGCTATGACAAGTTGTAACAAATATGCACTATCATGTGTCGCCTTCTTCTGGTCATGAGTCGCCTTCTTCTGGCTTCGGTCTGCATGTTGCAGCTGAACCGGCATGGCCGCTGAGTTCTTCGCAATAAACCAAAATCCAAAAGCACGGGCACTACGGCTTAGGTCTTAGGGCTTAGAGTTCGAGATTTTTAGGGCTAATTATGAAGAGGCCATGCCGGTGACTAGGGACACACAGGCTCCGGAGGAGGAAGCAGCCAAAGCAAATTACCCCTCAGACCCCGACCCTGATATGGGGGCCATGTTCTCGGTATATTGTACTAGTATACTATAAGACAGTTTTATGCTCGAGAGTATACTATACTTAACGGGTTCAAAGCATGATAAGGGCCCCTCTCAAGCTCTCTATTACCCGCAGACGCCGACGCTGACGACACGTTTCAACATATGAAGATATATTGCAGTGTATTATAAATTACAGTATATTATAGTGGTCTTGATAGGTCCTAGTATACTATAGTGTACTATAGAGTAATGGAATACTGTAGTCTACTAAGATTCTAGCACGTTATGAGTATAGTCCAATGAGTCTATATGCTCAAACATACTATAACATACTACAATATACTATAACAATACTATAGTATACTATAATATACTATAATATACTAGAATATACTAGAATATACTAGAATATACTATAATATACTATAATATACTGTAATATACTATAATATACTATAATATACTATAATATACTATAATATACTATAATATACTATAATATACTATAATATACTATAATATACTAATTATACTTTGATATACAAAAAACTATACTATACTATCATATTCCCAAACCCGGGCCTTGCCTCGAAACCGACTCGAAAGGTTGAGGAGTGCGGCGGCGGGTGGCCGAGACCTCCATTCCCAGACGCCCGGGAGGATCCAAAAAGTAGATCTCTTAATGGGGGTTCCTTTCAAGGGTTCCTTTAGGGGTTCCTTTCAGGGTCCCTTTAAGGGATCTATAGGGTTTTAGGGTTTAGGGTTTAGGGCTTAGGGGAGGATCCAAAAAGTAGATCCCTTAATGGGGGTTCCTATTAAGTACCCTTAGTAGCATAGGGCCCCAAATTAGATCCTCCCGGGGGTCTGGGTTGCTCCGAGGCGGCGAGGTTTGGTTTTCAAATTTTAGGGCTTTGGGGTTTCGATTTAAGGTTCTTAGAGTTTTGGGGTTTCGATTTAAGGTTCTTAGAGTTTTGGGGTTTCGGATTTAAGGTTTTTTAGGGTTTTGGGGTTTCGGATATAAGGTTCAAGGTTTAGGGCTTTGGGGGTTCGGATTTAAGGTTTGGGGGGTTTGTGGTTTTCGGGCTTGGGGTTTTGGGGTTTGGGGTTCAAGGTTTTGGGGTTTATGGTTTTGAGGTTTAGGGTTTTAGGATTTAGGTTGTGGGGTTTAGGGTTTTGGGTTTTTTTTCAAATCTTGTACCTGGTGCTGCCTACCTGCGGCAGTGACCCGAACAAGACGTCTTTGTGCGGTATC